TTCCCGGAGCATCAGGTGATCTCCTGATATGGCAGTGCGAAGCTTGTGTTGCCCTATGAGACGCCAAGTTCCGACCACCAGAATTTGAGTCAACTGTACCGAGTTCTGAGTTCTGGGACCCAGAACTCAACACATAATTTAGTTAATACTTTTTGATGGTGCACAGGTTGTCTTGCAGAATGTGGAATCCAGGGTGCGAAGCTTGTGTTGCCCTACGAGAAGCCAAGTTCCAACCACCAGAATTGGAGTCAACTGTACCGAGTTCCGGGACCCAGAACTCAACACATAATTTAGTTAATACTTTCCATGTTAAATGGCCAACCGAAATTGAGATGTTTCTGAAGAGATCAGCAGGTGCTCTCTTGACATGGCCTCTGATGGTGCTTAGGTTGTCTTGCAGAATGTGGAATCCGGGGTGCGAAGTTTGTGTTGCCCTACAAGAAGCCAAGTTCCAACCACCAACATGTGAGTCAACCGTACTCAAAGGAGGTGATAAATCAAAGTTACCGAGTTCCCGGAGCAGCAGGTGATCTCCTGACATGGCTGTACGAAGCTTGTGTTGCCCTACGAGATGCCAAATTCCGACCACCCAAATATGGGTCAACTGTACCAATTTCCGAGTTCCGGGACCCGGGAGTCGACAAATGAATATCTGATGACCAGCGAGTCAACCTTACTCAGAGGAGGTAATAAATCACAGTTACCGAGTTTCCCGGAGCTGCAGGTAATCTCCTGATATGGCTGTGCGAAGCTTGTGTTGCCCTACGAGACGCCAAATTCCGACCACCCAAATATGGGTCAACCATACCGACTTCCAAGTTCCGGGACCTGGGAGTCGACAAATGAATATCTGATGACCAGCGAGTCAACCTTACTCAGAGGAGGTAATAAATCAAAGTTACCGAGTTCCTGGAGCTGCAGGTAATCTCCTGATATGGCTGTGCGAAGCTTGTGTTGCCCTACTGAGACGCCAAATTCCGACCACCCAAATATGGGTCAACTGTACCGACTTCCGAGTTCCGGGACCCGGGAGTCGAACAAATGAATATCTGATGACCAGCACACTTCCAATCAGGTAGTATTTCATTGAGCAATGGATAATAATACATCTTTGACAGCCAAAATTATCCAAGGCTCCCTTATCTGATCCTCTCTATCTCCACCCCCTATAACACCAAAGTCCGGACATCCAGCATTCAGCATCTGATTTCCCAAGATTAACATCCAGCATGAACGGTTCTTCCCCTTCCCCTCCTGATAGCATAAACATCTGGTGCACTTGGGCCCTGACTGTGACTTATGAAGCAGGGGAATATACTGAACAGAAATTCAAGGCAGAGAAGACTGGAGGAGGCCCAGTCATACCTTCCCCCAACCTAGACACTGATCTGGTGATGGTGTGCGATCGCTTGGCTGATGTACTCATAAAGGCATCTAAAAATCCCAGTGGGTCTTCCTGCAGATTCGGAAAATTCGTTTTATCATTCAAATTCCTGCATGACAGTTCAGATGCAGATGGATATTGCAAGATATAGCAAATTGATCTCCCCGAAGGACACCGGGCATAATAAACATAGAGAGGCGAGGTTGCTTGAGAGGTGTCCTCCTGGCCATGAAGGCAAAAGGTTGGTCGACGAACCTGCCACAATTCTCGATGCATCCAGTGCCATCATTGCATGGTACCTCCCAGATGCCCTGACCGACACCACCCAGGTGTGTAATATACATTGTTACTCAATGGATATTGAATATTAATGGAACCTACAGAAGGAAATCAGGGAGGCCACCGATTTGCTCGCTCCAAGCCTCGAAAAAAGTGTAAGGGCTGATGGCAATTGGCAAACTAATCAAAAGTTGTTCAACCGGGGCTCAGAAGATGTTGGACCAACTCCCGGATGCATCAATCTATCTCCAGCATGGTTTCAACAGGGACACGAGGTAGGATCTGATGGGATGGTGATTCCGGCAGTCATACTCACCAATCCCAAAGAATGTGTCAGATCCGGAGGTATCTGCATCATTGAAGGGACCTTCCTGCGAGAATATCCTCAAAGCCATTGCAAGGCCAGCAGCCATCGCGTCCGCGGCACTCAGAGTCATGCATCCTGAGCAGTACTGGGCAGGGTTGAGAACCTTGTCAAACCTTGGAAATATAGCAGTAAGCAAGGATCTGCCACAGATGCCGGAGGCCCTGCAGTACTGGGCATCTGTGTTTAACACCCTCTCCATCATTTCCAATCGGGAAACCCCCCATCATCGAGACCACATGTCCATTGCTGAATGCTTCGACATTCTCACCACCGTGGGGAACTATTCTAATGCTCGGATGACAATGCCAAACCTTCAGCTGGAGTTCAAGTACAATTCCGGCTGTATGATTGCGTTTTCCAGAAGGATTGTGAGACATGGAGTTTATGAGGTGGAAGGGGATCGGATTGCTTGGGCATGGTATATGAGGGATGCTGTTCACATTTACACTGGTGTTCCATCATGTGGATGGGCTAGTGTGGATGGTGCATACAGCGTGTGAAAGATCAAACAAAGAGCAAGCATTGTGACCTATATACATTCCAACAAATGAATACCATGTACCAATTGTGATCCGGACCTCAATACTCAATTTTGAGCATTTCCAAAGTGATATGTGGGACTGAATAATTTGGATGCAAGCCTCGGTATTCGATAATTGGAACTCGGGACTTGACATGTGGGAGTCCCGAGTGCCGGGGTACTGAGTCCCGACACCCGGACCTCAGCACGTGATATTTGAGACTGGGGGAAGATGTATAAATATGCTCGAATTAACATTTGTTATTGCCATCCACATTTGACAAAACCCTGAAACCCGACATTGTGGACTCCAGACTCGACACTGTTCTGAATACAGAGTCCCGGACGCCCAGGTCCCGAGTCCCGAATTTCAGAGGTCAGGGTTCAGCGACCCAGAGCTCGGCAACTGTGTTGGGTGTCAGGGCATCCGGGGCATTGGAGATAGCATTTGTCAGTATTTTGCGTTTCATGTTTCATGTTTCTTGGTTAAGGAATCGGGTGTCAGGGACTCGGTATTGAGAACAGTGTTGAGTCCCATGTCACGAGCTCCGAGTCCCGAGTCCCAGATGCCCAGGTCCCGAGTTCTGAATTTCGGAGGTCGGGGTTCAGCGACCCGGAGCTCGGCAACTGCTGGGTGTGGGTTTCGGGACTCAGGACTCGGAGCTCGTGACATGGGACTCAACACTGTTCTCAATACCGAGTCCCTGACGCCCGATTCCTTAACCAAGAAACATGAACCATGAAACGCAAAATACTGACAAATGCTATCTCCAATGCTCCGAGTACCCTGACACCCAACACGGTTGCCGAGCTCCGGGTCGCCGAACCCCGACCTCCGAAATTCAGGACTCGGGACCTGGGCTTCCAGGACTCGGGACTCGGAGCTTGTGACATGGGACTCAACACTGTTCTCAATGCCAAGTCCCTGACGCCCGATTTCATAATCACGAAACATAAACCATGAAACTCAAAATACTGACAAATGCTATCTCCAATGCTCTGAGTATACCCTGACACCCAACACGGTTGCTGAGCTCTGAGTCGCCGAACCCCGACCTCCGAAATTCGGAACTCGGGACCTGGGCTTCTGGGACTCGGGACTCGGGACTCGGAGCTCATGACCTGGGACTTGACACTGTTCTGAATACCGAGTCCCTGGTCCCCAATTCCATATTCACCCAACATGAACCATGAAACGCAAAATACTGACACATGCTATCTCCAATGGTCTTGATACCCTGACACCCAACACAGTTGCCGAGCTCCGGGTCTCCGAACCCCGACCTCCAAAATTCGGGACTCGGGACCTGGGTGTCCGGGACTCGGATGTGAGATTTTTGAATGCATAGAATATGTTACATCTTGTATACAATGAAGACTGAATGGGACTACACTCCTTTACCTTTCCTCAATTTCTCTAACATGTCAGTATACATCTTCACCTCTCCCATCTTGGCTTTGATGCCCTGATCTTGCTCCTCCATCAATGCTTCCATGCGTTCTTTGATGAACCTCAGTCCCATGAGTGGTGGAGTTGAAGTGTTTTTCAACTTCTCTGGAAGAACCAAAGCATCATCCTCAACATTAAGCTGAAACAGATAAGTCATCAATCAAGGTAATTCAGCTAACATCTTACCGCCCAATACTGGTAGTGAGAGACGCAGGAAGCCATTATTTCATCCCACTGCCATGGTTGATCAGGGATTGTGGTGTTTCCCATCCACCATGGACATGTATATGCGAACACAATCCAGGACGGATGTCCTGCAATTGGCTCATCATGAAATGAAAGGAGGTGGAATGAAAAGATGTCGTCCGGAACCGTGTTCCAGGTTAGCATGGGATACAACTTAAGGATATAAGCGACAGGGACCGGAACCACTGACACAATATTCTGTGAAGCGGAGTACTGCAGGAGTGGTGTGACAAAAGTCTGCTCACATTCTTAGCATTGACCAACAAAGTCATCAGGGCAGTGGTGACATACATTCATCTCCCATTGCAGCCCAGCTTTAAAATACTTGATCCGGTCAGAAGATAGACCATTGTTGGCAGCTTCCGTCTGATATTGAGAGATGCATGCATGGACGCGAGATCCAGCCATTGCCAATGTGCAGGAAATAGTTGCAAGACTCAACTTCAGGGGTCGGTAATGGCTTCCGGCATTCAGAGTGCCAGAAGTGGATGCATGAGATGCAGACATGGCTGATACAGGACTATGGTGCTGGCAATACAAGTGAAAGATGGTGAAGATGTGAAGATAAGAATCACTGATGGATGGATACGAAATTCAAACTCCAACATGGGCTGACCCGGACAATTCCCGGGCCATCGAGATCATCTAGAATGTCTACGTCCAAGTCCTCAGGTTCATCATCTGCATCAAATCCCTACCCGAGATGTGTTAGAGCAGACCGAGCAAATCCATCTATCTGGCCTTGGAGCCGATCTCATTGACGGGCGATGTCTAATCTCTGTGTCTTGGTGGATCTTCTTCCGATCCTTCGGACCTCGATGAGCAATGCAATCTGAGCCTCTTCAATTGCTAACCCTGTTGATATCCATGTTGCCACAGATCTGCGAGAGGGTGCTGCATTGCGGGCGTTACCCTCCTCTAACAATCTAAGCTCAATCTCCTTTTTGCTAGGTGCTGAGTGCAATATTAATTCAGACCTCAATGGAGACAATGGAACTCAACTTACCCTTTTTGATATTGATCTCATATTCATCCATGGCTGAAGGATCATTTAATCTGCTTGACTGAGCTATCCTCTCCCTGGCTAACCATTCTGTCTTCAAATGTGAGGGTGCTGCTTCATCGAGTCTGTCGAATGCCTTTCCACTTTCTAAGATACCATTCCTAGCCAGTTTGTATTTCTGGCATAGAGTCCTTTTCATGCGAATCATCTTGCAGAAATTGGAGTCATTCATCTGATAATCAAGGCATTCCTTTCGGTGGGGAGATGACATTCCCCGAGCAGCAGGGGAGATCAGATTGAGCCTTGCCCATAGCGTCTCCATGATCTCTCCATCGATCCGACCAATGCCTTCAATAAAGTTAGAAGCATATCGGACATAGCAGCTGTCCTGATGGCCATGAATGTGCCACAACCCAATTCTGGGAATGATGGTTAGTTGTGGTGCCATTTCTAGAAATCGACTTCGATCCACCCGAACCCGAAAGTGTTTGTTGTATTGACAATTAATATCATAGAAGGTGACAGCCCTGGTGATGCCTTCCATGTTGTGCCGGGAAGCCTCGCAAAGGGCGTAGTCCATGTTCATTTGTCTGCAAGTGACCCCCCATGGTTAACTCGTGAATGGGGAATGGTGGATGTGGCTTGCCTTTCACCTTTCTGAAAATCCACCATGGAGTGAGGGACAAAGCAGCCGTGTCTGGCACAGGCAACTCCCCCGATACCGGTGGACTCCAGCTTGTGCCGAGCAGCATTAGCTTGATTTACTGCCCAGTGATTGTTGCAGCTTGATTTTTCCACTGTGTCAGCAGCCTCTGCCAGGTGCATTTTATACCTGTCCTTTCCTACCATGAATCCAAGCCCATCAGACAGCCAAACTTCATTGAATGGCTTAATGGGATGCAGATGTTCGGCTTTGAAATTTCTGTCCATCACAAATGACCAGGTGTATTTCCAGCTTGGATCCCTAGTATTATTATGGAGGCCACATAGGTTGAGAATAGGACTCACTCATCAAGAGATTCATCCTCTGACAACAGCACATTAATCCCAGGCTGAGGACATGCCGGGCAAAATAATGCAAGTTCTCCTGTGCTCGGGTTATCAGAACGATGGCTGAAGCCATGCCATTTCATTGTCTTCAACTGCCTCCACTGTCAAGCGACCCTCATGAGCTCTCTGTATCGGTCCTTGCAATGTGCTTTGTCAATATGATGTCCAGTAGATCATGAGGGTAAGGCATTACCAGAACAAGGTGTGGAAACATGCTGGAGGTCATTCGCCGGAGCTTGCTGTAATAGTTCATCGCCGAGGTGCCGCATTCAAGGCTGTCCAGTAGAAAATCATTGAGCACTCTGAAGGTGAACACAGTCTTTGGCCTGTTAAAAGATGCAGGGAAAAATCCGTGTCGAAACATTTGAATGTCCGGACTCATGGCATTCGGACATTCACAGCATCGAACCTCCAGGCGATGAACTCCGGACTTGTCCACGATGACCATGGTGTTTTCCTTTGGCTGGAACTCGGGTCTGGACACAAATGGCAGATCTTCAGGCTCGAGCAGGTCTTCGGGTTCATCTTCTTCAAACAAATCCCACCGATCGGTGACCGCCGGACATTGTTTGCCATCATGGCCAAGGTATATAATGAGTCCCACATGAGCTAGACAACTCCGCTCGAAGAATCGCCCATTCCATTGACTGATCCAGTGGAAAGGATTGCTACGATGTTGACTCCTGCAACAGCCCATGCAATAGAGTGGCTCGCCAAGACAATCTTGACATTTGTACACCCCATCCTGTTGGCAGATGATGCATCTCCTGTCTTCGGGTGGAGCTTCTCGATTGAGGAGGTGATGTAGATATGATTCCTGCCTTGGCAGCCATTGCCTGAGGTAGTCATTTTGACTCTGTATTTTTGAATGCTTAGCCATAGTTTGAATGACACTCCAACATTGTACATGAACTTGCCATGGTTTTTGGGAGTTGCAAAGGCTCAAATGAGCCTTGATCCTGCTCATAAGTATTGTCAGGAAAGTCTTCCCAAGGAGGCGGTGCCTCAACAGGCTGAATTGTTGGTGATTCTGGGGGAGAGTTAGGCATGGACCTGTAGGCATGTCGCCTCGTGCTTGCAAGTGGGACCTTGACCCAAGTCTTCCTACCTTTGCTGCCCCTTGCTTCCACCCTGTGAGATTTTTGCACTGGGGTGCATCTACCTATCTTCATCTTGTTTATTAATGTTGCAAGCAAGGCATCAGCTCAGGTGTAATGAATTGTTATTGCAATATGATGTGGTGCAGTCCTGTTGGCTCATTACAAATTCATTTCCATTAATGGCTCAGGGTCCAATATGGGCCAATTAACCATCATTAGGCTTTGCTCAAAGTTCAACTTCGCACAATTCATTAATACTTCCACCTTGCAAATCCTTAGCCATTTCTTGTTAAGGTCGTACTCTCGTAAGATCGGATCCGAAGGACTTCGGCCTCAGCTCGTACGCTGTGCCCCTTTCCCAAGTACTGTCCCTTATTTCAAAGTACTAACGATAACGCGTCCGAAGGTCCGGACGGGTCTCGTAGTATATCCGGAAGTCTTCCGGATATCGGAAACGCGTATAAGGCTAATCCGGACGTATCCGAACTAGAAACTAACAGAGTAAAGACTACCCGAAGGTAGAGCCGAGGATATAGACTATCGGAATCTATCCGAAGTCTCGGAGAGTGACAAGAGTAAGGAGAACTCAAGTCCGGAGGACAGAAAGAGGACAAACTAAGATGATATTCGAACTGAGGTACTACAGGACATATACACGAGTTTATATACTATGAGGATAACGGAAGTATCAGTAAGCAAGGGTCCGAGGCTATGTACGAAGCATGTGCAAAGGTTATCAAACGCGAGTCGGAAATGAGACATAGGTTAACGGATCAGTAATCATACCGGTAATAAGCATAACCGAAACACCGGGAAGAGGAAATACCGAATAGGCTGTGTTTAACGTTATATGAAACAGGAAATGAATTAGAAAGCTTATCGTAAATCGGATCGGAAGCGGATCTATACATCGGACCGGACCGGATCTCAGGGTCCGAAGTCCGGAAGAGAAGCGTGAATATATGGGATATGACAGTATCCCCCCCTTAGGGCCGATCCCTAGAGGCACAAGAACCATCGGTCCGGACCGGACGAGATTATCGCGAGATGATGGAGAAGCGTCTGAGTTCGGAATCGGACAGGTATACTCAAGGGCGGACGTCCCAGGATGATCCTTCCTTTCCCACTTTTTACTCTCTATAACGCTCTATCGAAAATGTCTGGCAACACCTCCGGATCTCAGAAGACTGCTAAGCAGAAACTGCTGGAGCTTCAACAGCAACTAGCGGACGCTGAAGCTGCGGCTCGGAAGGAGGAGGAGGAGATTCGGAAGCGTCAGGAGGCGGAGCGGAAGCGTGAAGAGGAACGGAAGATTCAGGAGGATCTTAAGAGGATTCGAGAGTCCGAAATTCGGGTGGAGGCAGAAAACAAACGGCGCAGGGAGATAGTAGAGGAAATGGTGAGTTTCGGATGGTTATGATGGCTTTGCCTGACGGATGAAAAGTCTCGTGCCATTTCCACTGACAAGGACGGATCCTGCAAGCGTTGCAGCGACAGAGGCCGGACTTGCCTTTGGACGGATGCGGAGAGCAATGCTCTGGTGAGTTAATCCGTGTTTTTTTTTTTTTCGGATCCGAGTGTTTTGACGTCCGGATAGGTCAAGTCTTGCGATATCTGCCGGAAGGACAAGGCTACGTGCCCCGGACGACCCGGAACTGTCAAGGTGCCCAAGGGCAAGAAGAGGAAGCATGCTGCCGGATCTCCATCTCCGAAAGGTAAAGGTAAGAAACGTCAGAAGAGTCCGACTCCTGAAGATCCGGAGGAGATGGAGACGGAATACGATGATCAGGCTTGGGTGGCCGCAGCCAACAGTATAGTGGCGGAGCTGGCTAGGACTAACACCCTTTTGGAGAGAAGTATTCAGGCGGCGGAAGGCAGCAGGGCTGCAGCGGACCGGATGAGCTCCGGAATTGAGCTGTTCCTTCAGCAACAGAGGGAATTTCAAGCCATGTTGTTCGGACATATTCGGAAGGGATTTCGGACGTCTCCGGGTCCGGAGGAGGAAGATGAGGTGATGGAAAGGGCGTCCGGAAGTGATGCAGGCGGATCCGGAGAGGCGGATGGGTCTATGGAGATGTAGGAATTTCTGGTCCGTTTATGCTTCTTCTCTAAATGTACTTGTATTTCGTATGCACACTATGTACTTCAAAGTTGAATAGGACCGGGTTTGTTCGGATATGCAGCGTGGAAGTCCGAAACTAGTTCGGATGCGTTACCGAGCTCCGTAGCAAGTAACCATGAAGTCTCCTCGTCCGTTCCTTCATATCCGGACCATCGGACGAGGTATAGGAGTTGACATTGTCTTCTCCGACGGTCTAATTTTGAGTCCAAAACTTCGGATATCTCATATTCGGGTTCTCCGTCGACTTCGACCGGAGGCGGAGGCGATTGGATACGATTAGGAATGGTATTGAGTGTGGCTGGTTCTAATTGCGAGACATGGAAAACTGGGTGTACGGAGCGCATGGAATCCGGAAGTCGGATGGTGAAAGAATGCGTACCCGGACGAGCTATGATTTCGAACGGACCTAAGTTCTTTTCCGAGAGTTTCTTGGACGGACGGGTGGATCGGAAGTATTTTGCTTTGACGAAGACCGGATCTCCGATTTTCATATCCGGAGCAGGTTTCCGTTTGGCGTCCGCAGGTCCTTGATATCTTTCTTGTGCGTGGGCCATTTCTTCTCGGAGGAACTGATGGAGTTCGTCAAGGTCTACTGCATAGTCTCGTGCGCGGGCGGATGAGAGGTCACGTTCCGGATGAACGGATAGGTTCGGATGATATCCCTTATTGGCGAAGAAGGGTGATACTCCGGTAGTAGCACTCGGAGCGTTGTTATAAGCGAATTCTGCCAAGGGAAGTAGTTCCGACCAGTTATCCTGCTGATAGTTGCAGTATATCCGGAGGTATTGTTCAAGGGTTTGGTTCGCTCGTTCGGTTTGTCCGTCTCCTTCCGGATGATATCCGGACGTGAAGTGGAGGACCATATCTAATGCTTTTCCTAAGGACCGGAAGAAATGCGATACGAATTCTGTTCCTCGGTCCGAAGTGACATGGGATGGAACTCCGTGCTTGGAAAACACGTGGAGGACGAATAGACGAGCGAGATCCGGAGAGGTAATGGTGTCGTGGGTAGGGATGAATATAGCTTGTTTGGATAGACGGTCGATTACGACGAGGATGGCTGTAAAGCCGGATGAGTCCGGAAGGTGCTCGATGAAATCCATGGATATAGAATTCCAAGGCTTTTCCGGTATGGGTAACTGCTTGAGCAATCCGTAAGGTTTGTGTCTCGGAACCTTAGCTCGGCCGCAGGAAGTACAAGACTTGACGTAGTCTTTGACATAGGTACGGATTCCTGGCCAAGTGTACTCGCGTCGGATGATATCTAGCGTCCGGTTCTGTCCGAAGTGTCCGGACAACGGATGATCATGAGTATTCTGGAGGACGCGAAGACGGAGATTATTAGATTCCGGAACATATATACAGTTGTCGCAGCGGAGGAAACCACTATCGTCCACCGTCCATCTCGGATCCGAAGGTTCCGGAAGATGTTCGGATGCGATAGGGTCATTAGGAAGTGCGGTCAGGATGTCTTTCCGGAGCTGGTCGATATCAATCAGAACGGCTGCCCTAAGAACCGGAGTTACTAGAGTTGAGGCTCGGAGGGACGAAGCTAACTGTTCCGAAGTGAATACCGGACGGAAATTGTGAGGGTTAACTCGAGCGTAGTCCTTATCCCCCTCTTTGGGATAGACGTCCCAGCGTCTAGTAAGGGAATCCGGTTTAGCTCCGAGTTTTCCGGGACGGAAACGGATGACTAGGTTAAACTGATGGAGGAATTCCGACCAGCGGGCCTGACGGCGAGAGAGGAGTTTTGTGGTAGAGAAATACTCAAGGTTCTTATGGTCCGTGACAACGTCTATCGGCTCGGCAGAGCCTTCAAGGTAATGTCGCCACGTCCGAAAAGCTTCATGGATGGCTAGAAGTTCCTTATCGTGAGTGTCGTAGTTGAGTTCCGGAGCGGTAAGCGTCCGAGAATAAAATGCCACCGGACGAAGCTCTGAGTCCGGACATACTATGGAAAGTATTCCGGCTATAGCGTAGTCAGAGGCGTCGGTTTCTACGACTATCGGAACATTCGGAATCCAGTGCGTAAGCACCGGAGCGGACGTGAAAGCTTTCTTGAGTGTTTCAAAAGACTTCCGACAATCATCGGAAAAATCCCAAGTAACCCCCTTGTGGGTAAGACGGGTGAGCGGAACTACGATGTCCGAGTAATTGAAAATGAATCGACGATAGAAATTTGCGAATCCGAGGAAGGATTGAATATCCTTAACTTTCCGAGGTTCCGGCCAGTCAACGATGGACTGGATCTTCTCGGACGACATGGTCAAGCCGTCCGGAGATAGGATGTAACCAAGGTATTCAACGGATGTGGTATGGAACGCGCATTTTTCGGGTTTAGCATAGAGTCGATGTTTTCGGAGACGGAGAAGGACTTCTCGGACATGTTCCTTATGGGATGCAAGGTCTTGGGAATAGATGAGGATGTCGTCCAGATATACGATAACGCATACATCCAGCATATCAGCAAACACGCTATTGACAAAGCGTTGGAATGCAGCCGGAGCGTTAGTGAGACCTTCCGGCATTACCAACCATTCATATGAGCCATAACGCGTTCGGAACGCGGTCTTCCATTCGTCTCCGTCCGCTATCCGGACGAGATGATAAGCGGATCGGAGGTCGATTTTGGTATAGACTTTAGCGCGGCTCGGA